GTATGCAATTATTCCTGGAGTGCCACTTGTCAAAATGCCATCTCACAACAAGGTAGAAATCCTCCCCTTGGGTCTGCCCCCAAGCCTGTTGGCTAGATTAGGTGGGGAAAACTGCCCTCTTTCTGCCTAGGCTGTTCCTTTTCTGTGTATTAACCAAACATGAAATCTAGAAATATTTCCTTCTGTTTCCTCCTCTTCCCCTCCCTGGCCTTCATTCCACATCCGCTGGATTAAATGTGGCACATTAGGTATAAAACAAATCTATTAATTTTGTTTCCAGCTGGTCAAATATTCATATGAATTTGTGGAAAGACACCTACTGTACTGGGCCTGGATGAGCACAAGGACAAACATTATAATAAACTCAACATTATATTAATCTTAACAGTTTCAAAGAGCTTTCCTACTCAATTAATTTGTTAAAGTGGACTCACTAGAGACAGGAATGCTAGAATACACAGACAGCGACAAGTCAGCACAGAAAGACTAGATTGACAATAATTACTTTAAAAACTAGAAGCCACCAATGAGGGAGGTAGAAAGATTTCCATTAAACAGGAGTCGAGTCTTACATACCAAGGAAACAGGAAAAGGTAATTCCACTGTTATTTTTTTGGAGCATGGTTAAATGAGACCTCAAAAAATGGAGGAAAATAAATACAGAAGAGAGAAAAGGTTGTGACATGGAGACAATAAGAGGAACTAGGATTAGAGAGATGTAAGAAATTGGGATGATTTTGAAAGCCTCAGTGCACAATTTTGAATGCAGAGTAAAGTAAACTTCAAACCACAGAACTAGGTTTTGGAGAGACACAAGATTAAATACATAACACATTATCATTGCCATCGTTCCAGAAGAGCGTGTCCAAGTGATAAGAACTAGAAGTTCAGAGGGAAATTTCCTTAGTAATGTGGAATCAAACACTCTAGAGAAGAGTATTATTGGAATAATAGCAGTGCCTGAGGGTTTGTAGTCAAGATAATGATCTAGTTGTTCTAAGAACAGGGAGATGAATGGGTTTTGCCTCAATTCATTTTTAGGATGATACAAAAGCAAATACAGCCATGAAGGATAGGGTTTGAAGAGAAAAGAAAACATTGAGGGCATATATTAACAGAAGTTGTCTATGTCAATTTTTCTGTTTTGTCTCTGTTTTAAGAGACAAAAAAGAGAGGATAAATCTTCAGAGTCCCACATACAGTGCTTTGGGAAGAAATAGCACGTGGTTGAAATTAAGAAGGTGGTGGAAAGGACTTACAAAAACATCCTTGTGATGAGCAAACATGATGAGATACTTTCTGGGAAACAAGAGTTTCTGTTGTCAAAGCAATTAAATGTTCAGTGGAGATAGAAATGGGCCAGAAGAGCAATATTATATAAAACAGCAGAAGGGCACAAGATTGCATGAGTCATGGGGATGGAAAGGAAAGGATGGAAAGGAAAGGAGGAAAAGGAAGTGGGAAAGGATAAAGCAAAGTAATAGGAAACCTTTGAAAGAATTCTTTCCATGCTGAGGTGGTGAAGCAGGGTGAGAGCATAAGCAGGCAGCATTGCTCAGCAAACCACAGCAGGTAGGGGTGGGTTTGGTGAAAGTGGCTGAGGAGTGGGACTCCAGAGAACGCAGGGCATGGGGGGGGTGGGAATGGAGAAGAAAAGGCAACCAGGGCAGATGGTGAAGATTGACCAGAGAGAATGGGCAGGAAGATCTGTAAGCACTACATGGCACTCCTTACAATCTAGGATAAAGCATTATCTCTGCAGCTTACATTTCTTGGTTGTCAAGAAGTGAATGGAGTCCTCCAGCTGCTGGGTTGTGCCTGGCTGTTCTAGTCCCAAGGAACTGCTGTCATGGGTGAGCTCTGCTGGAGCACAGTTGCATGAAGGGAGATTCAGTTACATTATCTGTGCTCCTGGCACTGAACTGCGCTTGTATTTGCAGCATTTTGTAGACAGGGCAATGATATGGACAGTGTAAGCTTTGTATTTACGTTGTTCTCCAGAGCCAGGACAGAAAATTTCAGGCTTGGCACAGAAGTTTAAGAAACGATTTTAAGAGAAGCTTGTTTCATCTTCACAGGAGTCACTGCTAATACTAAAAGGGCACAGTGGATCATCTCATAATCCAACTAATCCCATTATGCAAAGCTTTGTGTGGTCCCACAGTTTAATAGCAGTCTCAAAAAATCACTGGTTTTATGTACTGATTGCTAACCTAGTATGGGCTGAAATGAACAAGGTGCTCTGATGTTTAATAAACTGACTCCTTATAAAGCAGCTCAATAGAAATATTTTTTTTAAACATTTTATAGTTTTTTGAAAACATTTTATATCCAATACCTGCATCTTCTTTCAGCTCACCCAAATGCAGCTCCTCGCCAAGCAAGGTCACATTTGTTGTGGCTGCTATTGAAGTCTCTTGCTGAACCTCTTCTGAGGCAAGTGCCTGGCACACAGGAGCTGGAGGGTCACTCTGCATTGCTCTCGTGGCATCGTCACCAGTGCAGGCTTTCCCTTCGGTATCTGAAACACGAAGTCATTTAATATTAACTAATCCATGAGCAGTGAAAGCTGAAACTCCCTGATATCCTCTTGAGAAGAGAGAGTCCCAATGTTGCACTAGTCCTGAGGGGACTGAGATTTGTCTTAGAACAGCACCTGTTTTCTGACATCTGTAATGCAACGCCTGTGGAGACCAGCCCATCTGGATACTAATATCCACCTAGTTTTCACAAAGGGGCATCTTTTTCTGTGGACGTCCAGCAGCCTGGGCAAATGGCTGTTGTGCATGTACAGGAAAGGCCACTGTGTTCCTTAAGCAGTGTGGGAGACGAACACAAACTTCAGAAACTGGAGGGGTTTGGGAGAAGGCAATTCCTTGCAGGAGCAGAGCTAATGGTGCAGTGCATGCGCAGGTTGGTCTGATATGTCTGGGTTGTGTCAGGCTCCAGGCATGACATGCTGCCATCCAGCTGCCCCAGCAATAATGCCAGAGCCTTACTGAAGACAGGGCTTCTAGTATTCCCTACCAAGCTGTAGGTTTTGAACATAGTTTTAGTTACTCAGCTTTAAAAAGCGTGTCCTGTGTGATTGAGCTGATCAGAAATTCAAATCTGTCTTAATGCAGACCGAGAAACTGCTCCCTTTGCTTACTCTGAAAGATTTTTGTGCCAATGATGCCTGCAGCTGTAGCATCGTGATGACTGAAGCTTTTCTAGCATTCTCCTATTCAGGCAAGAGTCCTCAGAATACAAAGTATCCTTTTACTTCAGGACTCCCTCAGAATTTACAATATCTACATTACTGTTGCAAACCAAAGCAATTACTTGCTGCTCCAGCCAGCTCCATGCTGATGGACATGTTTGCTGACCACCCCTGACCTCCTAGCTTGTATTTGTCAGCCCTGGACACTCCTTTCTGGAAGCTCCTAACGGAGTGACGGTTTTTGCGATGGTATCATGACAAGTGTCTTGAACATTGATTTAAAATAGCTACCATTCACAGCTACTACTTTTTAATTCTATTTGGACAATCTGCGGAGTAATTTATTGCCCTTGTGGGTAAGGGTATCAGATATTGGCCCAGAGATGCTGCAGAAGGGATACAGTATTTTTGTACATTGACCTCACTCAGTCTGTCTCATAATCACGTTTGATGAAAAGTTACTGTTCTTAAAATAGACCCTGCAGTAGCACAGTTGCTATGATACAGAGAAGGGGAGGGGGGAAAAGTTCATTGCCTACATTTCAGCTCATTGTGAAGGCAGCCTCTACATAATCGTCGGTGTATTAACAGCTGCCTGCATTATTTGACAGGGAGCCCCTATCTCTCTCTGCTGTAAGTACAGCTAAATCTGATTAGTTTTGTGCTCACAATGGGGAGGAATATCAGGGGAAGCTCCTTAAATGTTTTCAAGGTAACTCTGCCTTGCACATTGCTCACATCCTTTGGAAAGGCAGGCTGCTGACAGCTGTGCCACAATGCAACTGCAGTGAGAGACAGGAGTTCCTTCATATCCTGGCCAGTGGAAAGTGTGATGACTAATGAAGTAATGACAAGAAGACAACCCTGTGGAAGAATTTCTGTTGAGGAACATCTGAGACATACAGCAGTGATGCCCCTGGTCAGAAATGATCAGCTCATGCTTAGATCAAAGTGAGTGTGCTGCTTTGATTAGCAGAAAAGCCTCAGAGAGTCTTGCTTGACTATTACAAAGTAATCAGAAGAAGTAGGGGTGTAATTTAGGTGGGAGTGAATCCCACTGTCTGCCAAACCCTGCACCTCTTACAGGATGCCAGTTGTTTCCTTGGAGTATAGCTATATTTGCCCTGTGTGAGCAGAGCTGGAGATGAGAAGACAGAAGGGGCCCAGACTGTGCAACTTCATTTGTGCAGTGTGTCTGGACAGCTGGATTTTGGGGTTGTGTGAGGAGAAAGGGTGACATAACCTGTTAGGATGACTCATCACCAAAGCAAGGACAGTGCAATTTCACCCTGGGCTGATCACAGATTGATGCAGATTCTGCGCTAGCTTTGTGGTTTGCTCTGAGCCAAACAGTCCAGTTCAAAATGCTGCTTGACAGACCTTGTGCTACAGAACTGGAGGATGACACAGCTATTGTAAATGCTTGAAGCAGATCTGGAGATTTCTCAGATTGTAGCTTCATCCCAGTTTGGGCTATTTATGAAAGTGAGCAGGAATCAGGTCTTTGGAAGTGGAGTAGAACCTGATGAAATAGAGAGATTTTAGGTTTTACTGTAGTCTTTAAGCATAGTGTAGCTGCTCTGACAGTTGCAACTTACTGCATAAGCAAGGACTTAGCCTTGAAGCTGCTACCACTTCATCTTAGTCCAAGTAGGACACTAATCTTTTACTGAGAATTATTTGGGTCAGTTTTTTGTTTCAGTTATTAAGCTCCCTCTCCTAATAATATAATAAAATAACCCTAGAGATTCACAACACTGCAAAGAAGAATAACTTGCAGGCAGCAGCAATGTCCTTCAGCTGACTGTTAGCCATTCTTTGCTTTCAGGGCTGCAAGGTGGTACTGAAAATGTGTTTGATGTTTATAGGAGCTCTCTGCAACTTAATAGCAGACAAGTAAGCAGTCTGCTTGCAGCTGCCTTTTAGAGAAACACAGTTTGACATAATTTTTCTCTGGAATATATATATATATTTAAGTTATTTTAATTTTATTAAAATGTTCTTGTAGCTTAGCATTGTCTGTTTTCCTCCCAGACATTTATTTATGCATGCAAGAAGTTTATTGATTTGTTGTTATTATTACCTTTTAATGTGTTCTACAGAAGTTTTATTTTACTGTGTTTTGGTAAAGCCAAAGATAGCCAAGTTGTCAAATTCATTGTTTATAGGGAACTTCTATACTCCTAGCAGAAATTAGGCATATTTTTCTTTCTCATAGTGCTAATAGGACAACTAATTATATATAATTATGAGAGAGACAGAGTTCAATGGAGAGAATTAAAAATGAGCTTTTGAAAAACTTCAATTTTTAATAAACTGAAAGAATTTAATTTTTTTACTTGACCATTAAACTCATTAAAATATAACAAAATAATGTGAAAATAGCTTTACTGCAATGGAAAAAAAAAATAATCCTGTTTAAAATGTGCCTTTTTTTGACTCCAGTTTCTCAGTTACATACCAGTGTGGACCCACTCAGTATTGTCCCACAGACTATTTATAGGTATGGCATTTGTTTTATACAAAGAAACTCAATTTTAGTCTCAAAGAATGTAATTTCTATCTATCAGATTGTTCAAACTCAAAGGCCAATCTTTCCTCATTATAGTACTTTCTGCTATAAAGTTTTCAAAGATAGATTTGTTTATTTTTACCTCTGTTTATGTGGACATGCCAATTGAGGTGTTGTCCATAACACTGGGAGTTCACTTGGTCTTGCACCAGATCTCTGTCTCCCTTAACCTTTGAAGTCAGCACATTTGGAGTCCTTTGAGTCAGGACTTTGGAGCAGCAGGGATATATAGAAACACAGTCCTTTGTGTATGTTTCTGACATTTTTTAATCTCTCATTCAAT